GTGTGTGTGTGTGTGTGTGTGTGTGTGTGTGTGTGTGTGTATTATCCAGCCTGAAGGGTGCTGCAAACATGTAAATAATGCCAAAATGAAGTTTTTGACACAGACATGTCAAGTGGATTATTGAAGCAGAAATCATTGTGTATCACCCCAGATGTTTTCAAAAGCAACACAGATTAAATCAAATGTACCACAGACATATTTTTCTACCAATGTCCAATAAATAAATAAATAGTTTTATAGTTTTGAAATGAGTGTTTCTATCGAGGAACCAGAAAGATAAGCTGGTGGTTCAAGAAGCGTGATCCATGAGAAGATTTTTTAGTTGTGTCACACTGGTCTTTTGGCAAGAGAATCAATGGAGCCTGTGGTTAGGATCAGCTCATTTCAGTGGAAAGCCCAATCCTGTAAATGTCTTTTAGAAAGGCTGCAATAAAAGGGCAGATTACAAAGAGGCTGGTTATTATTACACACGAGGTAAAAAACAAAACAACAGGAATGTTGGACATGTAAGTACAACAGAAATAAAATTACACTGATAACTTAGACAAAAACATCATTCAATTTCAGACTGGGATCAACATTTAGTTCTTTTGATGACTGAGCTCATTTGTGGTTTAACCTCCTTAGTCATAATCTCTGTTTTCCACTAAGCATGACATTTTAATGAGTAGACCTGTTTATGTTCAGTTCAAAAGTCTATATTCATACTAACAGGGATGATGGTGCAAAGCATCAAGCATCAATATTGTTTTAACAAACTTCAACAACAAAACTAAAAAGTGTAAAGATAGATGTTGTTAAATTTGTCATGTTTTGAATTTAGTATAGTGTGGTTGGTTATGATCAACAAGATGCCTGTTAAGAAACGCTCATCTTTATATTCAGTAAATCAGTGTAATTTCAACAAAACAACTACACAAATAAATAGCTGTCAAACAACTTGATTGACACAATATGCTATGGGAACATCATTAGTTTGGCAAACCCTCCTGAAGTCAGGTTTGTGAGGAAGCTAACTAGCAACCAGCAGGTGGTCCAGCCTTGGCTTCTGGAGCAAAGTCCAAATAAGCTACATGTTGTTGCCTTTGTATCCACTACCTGCAGACAGACTATGTACAATCAATGATTATTCATCACTTTCATTAAAGTGTGTTAAGTGGTTCACAAGACATTTTGCTAATGGAAACACAAGGCAGCTTCATCAGTTAGAAGTAAAGTCTTAGGTAAAGAGCTTGCACAGTGAGTAGCACGATGCATTCTTTTATTTCTCAGAATACTGTAGTATGACAAGTTTCATTTACTATCATACACTCTTTTTTTTTGCTTTTTTTAGTCAAATGTTAAACCGTACTGATATCTACATCAGCCCCCAATCTCACAGCTCTGCTATAATTGCTCTTCCAGAGTTCATTGTGTGTGTGTGACATGCCGCCGGCACTTCACCACAGCCTTTGTAAGAGTCTCAAAAGCATTCGACACGTAAGTGCCACCTCACGTAGAGACACCTGGTGCTAAGGCAAAACGTCGGGGTGGCAGTATTTGACACGGCAATGTTCATTTCTTCACCCTGCCTCACTCTTCGTCACCTGTTGACATTTTCCCCTCTTGGAGAGGCCCAATTTACCATCCAACCAGGCAGTGTCCACACACTTATTGAGGTGGTGCGCACACTCACTTTTGACATTTGGGTCAAGTTTTTGGGCGACAGAAAGAAGTAAAAGACATTTTCCTTGGAAAGCCTGGACGTTTGAAGTTTATTTCTTATGTTTTTGTTTTTCTTCGGAAAAGATGAGGTACTCAGCTTTCATAGGACTCCTGGTGGTTTTGCTAAAACAGTTCTGCACATCTGAAGGTAGGATGGTATTATACAGCTGGATTTAATTGTGTTATAATGTCAGTATTTTTAAAAAGAAAGGAAAATATTGATCATTATTTAATTCTGTTTTTTCTTATTTAATGTATTCTCTATTCTAGTTTTGTATTTCATTTATGTTTATATGTATTAATGGAAAAAAGCAGAATGACTGAATAAATATTTCATTCATTTTAACGTCTAAAGTTTTGAGCTACAGCTATAAAACTACATCCATTTGGTATGTCAGTCATTGAACATTTTCAATCATTTAAGTTAAACACAGATTACAAATCAAACTAAAGTACATACACTTACTGTGATCACAGCTGCAAAACAACTCTGAGAATTAACACTTTCTCCGCAGGTGGGTCTACCCCCAGCCAGTCCTCCACTGAGGTCACCTACCAAGATGGACAGAACTTATCCCAGGACCCAGAGCTCCCTGCTGCAGAACCGATGCCAGTAGTGTCTCTTCCTAGTTTGAAAGAAGTACAGCAGGCGGTAAAGACAGCCTCAGAACAAGCGGACAGTCGTGGGGCAGGGGAAGTGCTAAAGGAGCTGTTGGAGAGGGTGGTAGAAGCTGCTCTGGGTCACGCTGAAAGAGGAGGCGAAGCAAAAGATGCAGTGGCTAAGAAAGAAACAGTCAATCTTGATGGCCACGGAGTCGAAACAGGACGTGAAGTTGAAAAACTGGAGCAACCAGTGTTGAATAAAAATACTATTTTTAAGGAAGGAGATGCTGGATTTGAAGAGGAGGGGGAAGCAGAGGCAGATGCAATTGAAGATGTAGTTATGGGAGAGAAGAGGGTTGTCAAGGGACAGGGTGGAACAGCAGCTGCGTCGATGGAGAAGTCCACAGAAAGTGTAGAAACTGAAGTCAGAGAGGCAGAGGGTTTGGAGGATATAGATGAGTCACTAGGAACCACAGTCAGCCAGGAGGTTACAGAGAAAGCTTCAGAAAAGACAAAAGTAGAATTAGAACGAAGGGAGGAAGACAGCAAAGAGCAAGTTGTGTTGTCAGTTCTAAAGAATGCCACTGAAACAGAAATAAGGGACAAAGAGGAAACTCCAGCTGCTGTGGAGGCGGTAGTAGATGTTCAGCCAGAGCAGGAAGATGTGAATGACTCTAAACCTGGCCTGGGTGTAGCTGAAGATGAGCAGATAGGGACTAACGGAGGAAAAGAAGTCCTTCTGAATGAAGAAACGCCAACATCTGAAACAGATGGAGAGATAACTGTGCTGCCTTCTAAACATTCTGAGATAAAAATAACAAAAGCTGTTGTAGGTGGGCCAGCAGAGGTGGAAGAGGGGATAAAGAGGGGCGAGTTTATGGAAGGACATGAAAAAGCAGATGAAAAACGAGATTTAGAGGCAGGAGGAACTGAGGACAAGGCAGAAACAAAGGTTATATATTTCAGACAAGCAACAGTGGATGAAATAAATAATATAAGTGTTATCAAGGAGAAGTCCTCGGTGAACATGGGAGGAGACAATAAAGGAGAGGAAGAACAAACTACCGTAAAGAATCTGCACCACGTCAATGATCAAGGTGAGACATGTGTTGCTAATATTCAGCATGTCCAATGAAATAATCATTGCTGAGAGAGAAAAAAAGGGGACCTTAAATTTCACAACAAACACATTATTACCTGCCTCATTCAGTTTTCTTTTAGTTCATCTGTATAGGTTACTGGGACTGTTTATAATGTAAAACACCCTCACAATATGGATCACAAAAATGTTAAGTCTGCAGCAAAATGTTTCTTTAAAATTCAGTGCCACTAGACTCAGCAGCTTTGGGATTAGCAACACAGTGTCTGCATCTTAATATGATTTTGGAAAGAAGTACGTGGTCCATCAGTTTGAATAAAAAACACTGACACTGATAAAAGAAAAAAAATCGGAATCCCTGTTTATATACTTGAGTTACAGTTATATTTTATAGAACTCCGTAATCAGACTTTTGTGACATACAGCAGCTATTGCTGATATCTGTTAGTATTTTTTTCATTGTTCTTTTTTCATTTAAAAAAGGTACATTAATCAGGGCCACCCCTAGCCAGTTTGGTGGCCCTTGTGTGATTTTCAAATTATCTCTGCCATTTTACAGTTGCATACCAAATTAAATAGTTTTGTCTTTGATATTCCCCAATTAAAATAGATAACAATATAAGGAATTTAGTCATGATAAGATCTAGTCATTTGATCATTGTACCAAGTTTTTTACATTAATAAAACAACATTACATCTGTATTTTATGAAGGCAGAACACTAAAAACCAGAGTTTAACCTGAACTTAATTGAAGATCATAACAGAAACTTCCTTATCCTTATTGTATTTTCTAGGTACACATTAAGCACACATAGTTAGTCTTGACATCAGTCCCTGTAGACATGTTTTAATGCATTCTATTGGTGCACACATAACATGACTCATAAGCTTCTCTCAGCTTTACATTATTCTACATGCTGTAGGTCTTTTTCTTTAACATTGATCTTTTAGACTGATTTTCACACGTGTGTCACAAACCTTTCCTCTAGAGACATTGGTGATCCCTGGCCTACATCTTGAGCACAGTACCAAAGCCTTCATGGGAAACAGACCTGAATACCAACTCCCCACCCTAAACCCATCAGCTGATGAAGTGGAAAGTGAAGAAAATACCCTCAGTGATGAGAAATTTGATCACAGCAATGAAATCATTACTCCAACAGATGACTTTTTGCCACACAAACATGGCAGGATCCAACCTACGCTGGAGCATTTTCAGAATGATGTTCTGGCTGAATACCATCAGGCAGAGGGAGGGGAACCAAGGGAGGCCAATGAGCTGGTGGAAGATTCACCTGGAATCAGAGGTAAATATGTACAAATATCAGGAAGGGCATATAATGGGCCTCATGCAAGAACATTTCTGTATACTTATCCAAAATTTCTCTTACTTTTTTCATACAAAGGGCTCGTACGAACATGCCATGTCAGGTTCAGCAAACGCTTCTAATTTCAGGAAAACATGTAAATGAGCAGCGGAAACATAAAGAATGCCACCTGTAGGTATTCAGGTGTGTAGGAGTGAGCTTAAAGTGAATTAAGCTTTTCCCACAACTCTCATACACAAGGTTATGAGGAAACTTTTACCAAGGTATTTCTCATTACTTGTTAATATCTTTGTGCGAAGTGAAAAGTGACACAATAAGTGAATGTTCAGATGAGTTCAAGTTGATTCATAAAGACTATGCAATCATTTATTTACACAAATTGAACAGATCATACCTGATTGTGGTTATTCCTATAACAAGTGTCAGGGTTAAATGAGATAAAACCCGCGTCCGAATTTCAATTCACATCAACTCAGATTACTTATATAGAACAGTAAAAACGTCAGTTCTGATGTTAACAACCAAACAATTTTACTGGCACCTTTAGCTTAAGTTTTGGCAAATTAAGAACAAGGAAAGGAGGAAAGTAAGATTAGTATGTTACTACTACTTTTACTTTTATCAAAGTGTGGGTCAACCGGAACTGTACGTCTTTTCTAAGGTCAGGTTCCACATGACACGTCACTCCGAACACATCAGCTTTTACCTGATGATGTCTTCTTAAGGCACCCTCGGGGTAGGAGCTGGCTTGCCTCCGATCAGTCAGGGAACTGATGTCGGCTCGCTTACCGGTCATTGGCGAACAGGTGTTTTTCAGGTAACTTTTATCTGTTTCAGTCCAAGCCAGAAAAATTCAAGCCACATCCGGTTCCTTTTTCCAAATTAAAATCTCTCCTCGGGAGTTAAAAACAATCAGAGGCTCGAAGCCTCGATTTGGAACCATCGGCAGGCGTGCCGGGTCCCTGGCTGTGAAGTCTTCCCTAGTTAGCTCATGGGATCAGACTTAAAGCCAAACTGGGTTTTCTCCAGAGAGAATCCCAGCTGTCTTCCTAGGTTAGAATCAGGAAGAAGAGTGTGTCGCTCAAAGCCGTCCGGGTTAGCAAAAGAAACGGATGAACTTTGGTTCTGCCCTCAGGTTTATAGATGAGTCAGAGAAGAAAGATAAAGATTTGCCAGCGGTGCCAGCCCAAGGTTAAAATTATGTGGCTGTTCAACAACATTTTATGATAACCTCTTTTCAGCTTTCTTCTGATAAACTCTAAGAGAAATCATTGCAAAACGTTTATGATGATTAATTAACATTTCTGTTATAATCAGTTCTGAACCTTCTGTTAGTCCAGATAAATGAAAGATTTTCTCAGGAAAAATCCACAATTATATTACTGTGTTCACAGTAAAATAAAAACAGTGATTTACATAAAAACACAATGAAAACATTGTAATCAGATTCTCTGTGTTTTTTAAATCGTTATTAATCTTTAAGGCACAATAAAAGAAAAGAAGTGGTTCCACTTTTCCTGTGACAGTCATTATCATGATTTAACAAATGCATAAACATTCTTAGTTAAACAACAAATGAATCACAAACAGAAGAGATTGTTCTGTCCATTATCTGATTAAGAGAACTGAGGGGTTCTCTTCCACGGTTAGGACGACCTGTCATGGCCTAAATAGAGTTCAGTTTGTGGCAGAGTTCCTGTCCTCTCGTCAGGCCTGTCCGAGGCCTGCTTCGAGGCAGTAAATCTTGTTTCTTCACTCGAGGTGACCCCTACAGGTGCTTAGCATAATTACCACCCCAATAATACCGTATAAGGCTATGCTTCCTGCCCTACATACCATGAAGCATTCATTCATAAAAATGGCAGCGCAAAGTAAAAAGAAGAACTTCACGAGTTCAGAGATTGAAGTCCTGCTCTCAGAGATTCAGAAAAGAAAATCAGTCCTTTTAGCAGCGCCACTTGTGGAACCAAAAGATCTGATAAAGCCAAGGAATGGTTAAAAATGATGGTTGCAATTAACCGTGTTAATGCCGTGTCTCCTGTGGGTTGCTAAAATTAGTGACTGTATGACCCACGGGTGACATAAATATCAATAAATTCAATAAAATTTCCACCTTCCAACCAGTACTACAACTGGTCTGCTGCTAGAAAGAAGTCATACACTTTTCCCTGTCCTGCTTTGTGCTGCAGGTGCTATCTCCACTGCTAACAGTCTACCTGCAGCCACCCACGTGAGTAATAAGGATGTTTTGTGAAAATCATGGATTTTTGAGGGTCACAGGTAGTCTGAAGAGATTGATGTGATTCACTTAAATAAAGAGGACAAAGTTTGATATGAAAATGGCTTCAAAAAATGTCTTGCCGTTACAATTAATGCATAATTTGAGTTGATTTGTAGTTCGAGATCTTGAAGTTTTTATTGTAGTGTTACACAATAGCATTAATATCCTATTTAAATTATAGCAATTTAAGCAACATTATTACATTTAAAAATATAATTCCAATTCAGACACAACAGACTATTGTCAACATAATTATGGAGTGTGTTTTATTTTCAACTCAAAATCTCTTCAAACTAATGAAATATAAAGTTATTAGTGAAGAAAATCAGTCTGGATAACAGCAGACTGAGTGCATGTAAATATATAACATGTCTGGGACTTGTGAATTTTGTTGGTATTTGAAAAAAATACATTCAAAAGTGGTGTATGCAATATGTTCTCCTAAATCACTCGTACGCACAACTTAAGAACAAATCTGTTCGTTTGAGCGGTTCTTGCATGAGGCCCATTGACTGCTAAATCTTTTGTGTCAAGTTTTCTTGGTAACATATGCAAAAGAAAGCAACAACATTTGTACAATAAATCCAGTGACTTTATTTTCTATCGTCCATTGTTTGTCTTGTTTTTGCCTTAATGCACCTGTTCAGAGACAGATGAGCGAGGCCTGGAGGCATGGAAAATTGGGGCTATTTTTGCTGCAGTCTTCCTGGTTTTGGAGACTCTCGTCATCATTTTTTATATTGTCAAATGTCGAAACAAAAAAAGGTAAGTGCAGTCTAAAAAAAGTTATAAAAACTTTTTATAACATTTTAAAAGGGTCTGAAGAGAAAAACAAGTACCTTAAAGTATGTCACTTAAAAAAATAATGAAAACTTTTGCTTCAAAATACGTGCTTTAAGAAAATCTCATCTGAGTAAATTTGTTCTGTTTTTTCATATATAATTACCACTTGGTTTTTACAATCATTTTTATAAACTATCCAAATTTCAAATCAATATGTGTTTGCATTTTAACAATTTGGAAGTTTAGCTTGACACACTAAAACTATTGTTTGTTCACTCAAAACTATGTTGAACAATGTTACACATTATGTATGTGGTGCAAAGTACATATTTTGGATAAAGCCACGTGAAGTCATTTCTCAAACAAACAACAGCATAAAAGGCAACAACCAAATGCTTAAACTGAGATTACAGAATAAAACCACTGTAGAACGGGATTTATTTTAATATATATG